ATTAACGCGAAGTTCACTTTTGCACGCTTCTTGACATAACTTTATACTGAGTAGCTTTTTTTTAACCGAGTTTACCTGAAAATGGGGCAATAAAATTATTAGGTAATGTACCTATACCTAACAGTAATAAGCCTACTTTTGCAAACCGACTTTAAATTGTTTTCATTAATTTTCTCTTTTAATAAAAAGTACTATAAATGTTAGTTACATTTTAATCATAAAGTATGGTACAAATATTGGGGCGATAGAGTAACCTCTGTCCATCTATAACATATCCTAATATATTTATTATGATTATGAGTTTGTATGTGGAAATTTATTCATTTATGTACGTCATACTAAGCGAGACTTCTATAGTTTCGTAATAGGCCCACTTAGGAAAATTGTAAAAATAGAAATGGCAGAACCACTGCAGCTATTCCATATAGACATATGGTTTTATACACATATACTTCAGAAAGTCTAGTTAAATCATGTACAATAATATTTCCTTCTCGAGGAACTTAAATTATCAGCTGAAATAATAGATTATCAATAAAACTAGTTTTTTGATGCAACTGGAATATATACATATTAATATATGTATATAAATATTATTTTGAATTGCTGAAGAAAATACGAAGACATTTTCACAGGGTGTGTTGTTAAATCTAAGCTAAAGAATCCTGAAAATACCACCCATATTGAAAATTAATTAATTGCTACTACCAACAATTTAATTAATAATAGCCATATGCCAGTGCAAACATTATTTATTGTTAAATTTATAACAAATATAAACACGTACTAGTTAGAAGGTACCACCAATTTATAAACATGAGTTAATTGCATTGCATAAAAATTAAATTACTACACGTTGCATCGTACCGGAATATTAATGTAGTGATATATATGAGGTTGATGTTATGGTATACGATAGATCGCCATTGGTCCGTACTGGTTGGTACATTCTTTGAGGGACCTCCTATTGCTGCTTTGACTTGATCGTTCCAGTACATGGGTCCACGGGGTCTAGTACCATCAACTCTACCCTGTATGACAAGCATTCCTATGGATGCATCGTTTCTTTGTGAGACGTAACCGACGAAAGTAAGAATGCGCGATTTTTTTTTATATATTATAATTTGAGCGCGTTTCACCGCAATCTAACCTGATGTTAAGTGATGATGTGGTTCAAGCTGTTACACGCAAGCTCAAATAGTGCCTATCTGTTCTTGACTTGAAAGAATTGTGTTATTGCTGATATGATATTAAGAGTTCTGGCCAAACTCTACGTCCAGATACCCGAAGCATTCTTCTCCAGCCCCACATTTCCAGAGCGTCTATCTTTTTCCCTCTCGATTTCACGCAGGGTCCATATCCGTACCGCAAGAAATATACGGACTAATCTAGTGTAATCGGTTTCATATTTTTTTCAACTTATCGAAGTACTACTTCACTATTTCTCGTTACGTACTGATTATAGTTGAAAATATACCTATGTATGTACGTAGCAAAAGACTCAGCGAACAGTTAAGAAAATATATGGTTACATGTGAATTAGTGTTACGTGCATAAAGAGCATTGTGAGAAGTACCCTAAGTAGAATAGAATAAGAGAGGAACCAAATGTTGAAAAAGGTTTGCCAGTGAAACCACATCGTATCAATACGGAGGAAATTACGGTTCGCCGCTAGGCAGTAATAAAATCACTAAGCCGCAAGCTGCGCAGGAATAATCTTCAATCAATTACTTGCCGTCAATTTTAATACCTATACTCAACCTCGTTGTAATTTTGTATATATATCTATTACTTTCATTTATAAAGACATCTGTTAATACTTTTACCATTATGGACGTTAAGTTCAAATGGTACCACCCACCTTAAAATCTCGATTTTCTATGTTACGATAGTTAAAAAGGGGACCCTCAAGGTACTTGATAGGATACATATCAAAAAAGATCTCTCCGCTCGTATCCATTACGAGGAGTTACTGAGGTTAAAAATGTGAAATATTTGTGCTTTTTAACTTTATTATTACTAATATCCGTTCGGATCAGATCATAATAAGTAGATCTGCACTTACCGAGGTAAAATCTGGGTTATAAAATTTTATATTAAGGTATAAAAAATATATGTACTTATGTAAGCCTAGAAGTGCAAATGAGGAATCTAGAGTGAGTAAGTATAAATATACCGTATACATCAGATACCTATTCATAAACATCATGACATAGTATAAAATAAAGTCGCTGTCGCTGTTTTAACCTATGTATGCTTAAATCTGAAACTACGCAATGATTTTGAAGCGGTTTTTTTAATAGATAGAGTGACCTTCAGAGGAAGGTTATATATGTAATACATCTACACTCGTGCGAAAAATTAAATTTGGTTTAAATTTTGTATAGACAATTAATAATTTAACCTATCTTAATGTTTAACTACTTTTCAATTTTTTTTTTTATTAATTTTATTTATTGTTAACCAATTATATGTTTTATATCTTTTTGATTATTATTAATTTCTATAAACATAAGGTAACACTGTAAAATAAATGGTAAGCCATACATAAAAATCTGTAAAGAGGAGATAAATCCTATCACATATTTTACTTGTAGGCATATATTCCCATGAGGTGTCGCATACAATAGAGCCTGGTAGGCTAGTCTCATGAGGCTTCTCCGTTCCGCATTATCTGATTCTTCTTATACATAGTAGATAGTACTCACTGTCAGCTAAATAACTATACACGTATATTCTACATAAACGTGAAACAATGTGTTTATAAACGCTAGCAATACTTTATTTCATAGTTATGTAAAGAAATACAATTTTAATTAAAACAAATCCATTCAAATTGCATTTCTAGAAATCAGTGGATATGGTTTCTCTTTTAATTTTTTTTCGTTCGAGCTTTTGTGTTCCTTTGATTTTGTTTTCTTTTGAACCTTATATTCAAAACAAAAGAATTTGGTATCTCAGTGTTCTTTATGTAGCTGAAAAGTCAAAGAGAAATTGATATCTAAGAGCGCGCGAGCGTTGCAACCATCTGATATACCTACATTGAACAGCACCACGGAGATAACAAATGGATGTTAACACCCGGATTCTAATGTGTTGCCAGTTCTATATCTCAACTTTAAACAATTAAATCTTCAGTCATAAAGCCTAGTTCGTATCCATAGACGCTTACGGCGAGTTATATTCTACAGTCATTTCAGAAAGTACTACAATCGTGGAATTTATTAGTATAAAAATTTGTACATAGCATCAAGTTATTAAAACCAAGAAATTATAAAGAATCTTTCTAGATACATATCTATGTAAAAGCTTTTTGCAATCTGAATTCTTACTCCGTCAACACACGGAAATAATCTGCAATTTTAATCTTGTATGTTTTATGGGATGATCAGTGATGTGTATGTAATACCCCCTTTATAAATTAATAACGTGTATTAAACATGAAAATTTATTTATTCGGACTCAAGTTATTCAGTAATAAACGAATATCAATATTAGAACGATAAATAATATATTACTTTTCGTATCTTGCTTTTATACACAAGTGATACACAAAATAAAAATATACTTTTTTAACTAGTTAAATAAAGATTAGTAGTAGAGGCAGATTTTGCATATTTCAGTCGATTCCAATCATCTAGTCGGGGGGATGAAACACTGGGTCATGTTCAAAACTAAGTAGTTATAATTATTATATTGATATGTTTACTCATACCTTTATATAATCAAGTAAACCGAAAACAATAATACTAGGTTCAAGTCTTGCTCTAAAGCAGAATAAATATTTCTAATAAAATAAGAATAGGCAAGTATATTGCTGCGCTATAAAAATTTAATATCGGAGAGAATCAGTTCATATGAAAATGGGCTTCTTCAAATACTCCCATTCGCCCATAATAAAAAACTGTACATATTTTATAGTAAAATTAAAGAAATAAAAAATAATAAAAAATTAATATGTTAGGTAAATATATTAATACAACGGTCAAAGTTATCCCATGGATGTGTCTATGCAAGAAGCAAGCACTTTGATAAAATATTCATTCACCTACAGACGTGACCTTTATGGTTTGTGTGTATTCAGAAAATAGACCTGTATGTTTTCTTTTATATCAGCAAGTTGTAAGCAAAGTTGCAGAAAGATCAATAATATATACTTACAAGTAAATATGAAATATATTATGATCTTGTTTATGTAGATGAGATGAGCTATTATTTGAGAATCGTATAGATGATTATTAATAACTACCTTTGCAAAATAATATTTATGAAATAAAATATTCCCTAAAGTAGATTTATATGGTATATTAACCTGAAAAAATCTCTGTTATTATCATAAAATCACATTGAAAATCTGAATGTGTAATATATGTACCTAATGAAAAGCTCAGTGAACGTCTTTTGAGGTTTTCGTTGCATAAATAAAGATTGAAATAAATTATCCACAGAATTTATTGAAAGCTATTCCCACAGTTTCTTTTTTGTAATAAATAAATGTATTAATAATCTTACATTTATTTATTTGTTGAATAAGTTTGTTTTATTTGATAATATAAAGTTAAAAGTAGTGTTAATAAGTGATATTATATTTAGCATTCACTATGGTTGTATAGAAAGGGGTAGAGCCACCTCAGTAAAAAAAATAACACCGTTACGGACTCGTCTTTGGATATGTGGTATGAAAGTTATCTTATCTAAAGCGAGTTGACCAATATTGTATGTATTGAAAAATGCTCATTTGCAGGGTCGTCTGGGGCGGAGTTAATGGACTACTTGAGGTGGAGTGAAAATTTGTCTCATCGTAGAGTTTTACCAGTAGACTTTACAGTGTCTGATGAGGTAAAACTTGGTGGTGTTGGGTTTATTTTTGTACGGCTCTCTACTCGTACATTTAACTTATATATATTTAACTATATTACCACGGGACGCGGGTTGAACTCACGGCATAAAACAGTGTTTACTAGGATAAGAAATAATGGCCTGCAATTTTTTTACTAGCTCTGTTTGAATCCAAATTGATCGTTTTATTAGTAGTTTATCCATTAATCAATTGATATAAAGAATAATTTTAATTAACAATTATTACATAATAATTGTTAATTAAATTTTGTTCTTTGACTAAATGAACTAGTCGATAAATACAAGTTCAAATAGTTACCGGTAAATAGGTAAAATGTATTTTTCATTTAATTAGTAAATTATACTACTATAACAATAAAAAAAATGTAAAAATGACCGTGAAGAAGAGTCCGTTAAAAGGAGATAATAAAATTACATGATGTGGAAGCATGACATCTTAGTCCGCGGTATGACAACGTATAAATTAAACGCAGTGATCACTTGATAATGTGATAATCGTGATATACTGTTCATGTACGACGGTTATTACAGAAAAATATAATTACAGAAAACATAAATTCTTTATATCCCCTATTAATAATCATTATTATACTTCAAACAGGTCATTTTTGGCCACAATCTTATTAGTTCAGTTTACCCTAAACAAACTATAAATGAATGATGAAAACCCTCTTCATCACTTATTTGTAGGGATTTGTTGAACAACAAAATATGTCATAAAAGCATGACGAAATCGTATGGTTTCTATGTTAAAATTCCTTTTTTCCCAACAAATGTCGTAGCATTAAAAGCATAAAATCTTTACAAAAATCAAAAAGAAATTACAAAAATTTCCTAAATACTATTTATCAAGTAAATAATATCGAAAGCACAGGTAGTGTCCGAATAAAATATTAAGATTTTCGCCTTACTTTTCTATAAACGTCATAACCTAATTCCAAACAAAGCCGAATATTGTATTAAATATGCAAATTATAACCGGGTTTTTTGTTCAGGGTAAATTTAAATGCAGGTACGATGACCTGATTCGTCGGAGGTGGCCAACAATTAGAAATAAAGGAGTGCGGGGGACAGGGCGCGAATGGTGTTGGGCGGGCGGCGGTGGTAGCGGCGGGCGGCGGTGGTAGCGGCGGGCGGCGGGCGCGTCAGTCGGCGCTCGCAGCCCGCGCCTCGTGTCGCGCACCGCGCCCCAGCCGCGCCGAGCTCATGAGTGCCGGGTATTATGCCGGCGCTCCGGGGCCGCTGTCCACGTGCCGCGTGCTCGCCGCCGCCGCCGCCGCCGCTACCGCCGCGTCGCGCGCCACCACCGCCACCGTCGCCGCCCCGAATCCGCCGCCGCCTATAGCTCGCGCTCCTCGAGACCGTACACAGAAACGCACGCGATCACGCGTCCCACGTCTACCGGAATGTAAATATTTATGGATGTCAGTTTTCAGTTGTTTAGATTGGCTGTGAATTTTAAGGTACGTAAGTAACGTCTGGTGTGTCGATTTTTGCACGACATCATTTACCTGCCGTCCAGTACGTGTCGTTTATGAACATTTTTATAATGGAATTAGTAAATAATATAATTGAAAAAGCATGTTTCCTTGAATTCATTGTGTTTATATCTCTACTATATAAAATCACTACCTAATAGGTAGCCCACCTATAATCTCACTAATAGCGTACAAAGTACCCTTCTAAATTTGGATCGATAGTTTACTATTAAAAAAGTAGGTAGCGTTGGGTCGAACAGATTTTTCGCATTACATTACGTGATTAAAATAAGACAGTACGCTGTTTTAAAAGTGCTTTCAGTGATGCGCCGCCGCGACCATGCCAATTTCCTATTCACAATGCATAAACAACAAACACTACTTGTAGTCTGAACACAAGTCCATCACTACAATATTTCATTAATTATTTATTTAATATACTGTGTTTGACGAAAAACACCGTTGTATACTTTCACTAATATCATCTAAGTTTCATAGTTAAAATGAAACCTAGAAATCTGCCAATATACTGCTTATATAGGGATGTCGATTTGTTGTTATTAAGTTTGACCTTTCAACCTCATATACTGCCGACCTCGTAGTACAGTTATACCTAGCCCGAGGGAGAACAAATTGTGTAGTATCTAACCTGGGTCATGTTGCAACAATCTTATACACACATACCAACCCAATACGTGACTCTCTTCGTATCTTTTATAAACATACATAATTTATAAGCTAGAGGACAAGAGACTCTTTGTTTTTATCGAAGCGACCCAAACAAAAGCCGGTTTGGCGACTAACAAGCGATATTTCGATTTCAATGTTACACATTTCACTTCATACAATAGATACAACATGAATAAAATTATCGTTGTTATAAACATAACATATCACATATTCATTGGCATCAAATGTTTAGGTGAAAATGAAATCGACCAGGCGTGTTCGGCACATGAAGATGCTATACGTCATAGGTAATATAATCATTCAATATTATTTATATATTTAATTCGTAGTACTTAGTAGATCATAATTTATTTGGTTTTGATTTTATTAAAAGTAACCTAATCCTACTAATTGATTTAATTTTTGCTACAGTAGCTAGATTTTGGACTTAATTTAACTTAGAACTATCTTCTACTTAATTTAATGTAATTTTGCTTAAAAAACTAGCATATTATATAACTTTGCAGTGATCATGTACATAATTATAATAAACTTAATGTATCTATTTCGTGTGTCTTGCGTATACAATATATACAGCTACGTGTATCTTTGTAATCTAAAATTATAAGAAAAATACCAATTTTTAATTAACTTTAATGAAATTCATATTTTTTTATGTTTTATCAAGTGTAAAATTGCAAATTTGCTTAAGGAACATTCATATTCGTTGTATTTTAAAATTGTTCCAACCGAAATGTAGATAAGACTACATTATACAAAGATATTATAAGATTACATTTTTTGCTGTAAGGATAATTTATCGTTACAATATTTACAATTATTTTCGCTATAAAGTTAGGTGATTGCAGAAGTGATATTTGCTCGTCACTAAATTATGAGCAGTAGAAGGCAAAACTAATGTACAAAATATTCTTTAATTGGTTATTATGTTACACATTGAATTCGTCGGTTTTTCAATTTACTGAATTAAGTTCTACTTTATATAAACTACATACTTCACTCTATTTTTTAAGTTCTATTCGTTAACTACTCCAATTTGGAAAATGTTTCATAACTTGATTTCTATGATTTTGTCCTATTTGCTAGTTTGCTCACAAAAGATTGAATAAAAATATTAATAGAGTTGGCCTTTGCTAAGTAGTAGACCATTTTACAGGTTAATTGTATAAAAATAGGAGTTTTTTTTAATACTCGGTTTACCTGCTGTTTATATACTTTCATCATAATAACATAACGTGGTTGCATAACTCCTTCATGCAATGCGTTCTCCACAATACTGCACACTATTCATGAGTACGGTTTCTATAACACAGAAGCAAACATCTAACAACGTGCACGGAACTCTTGCAGTTGTTTCTTACTGTTTGTGAGTTCATAATTACACCGTGTGAATTTTATAACGTGAAACCGATGTGACCGAGTTATTATCAATGGTATACCTCTTCGTGAACTAGTAATCTGCGCCAAACTATTAAACAAGGTTCATTAAATTAAAAAAATGGTATAGTTAACTATTTTATTTTCTGAAATTCATTTTTCATTATTCAGTACCAATTCTAACTATCTGTGTCGAAATCTTCATGAAGCACCCATTAGAATATCTTAGGTACGAATTCCATACCTTATTTTACCAAATTATTTAAGATATTAGACAGGATTCTCTCCTATAATATTGACGAATATGTAAATAATGATTGTTGAATCATGATTTGAATTACGGGTGATAAAGTATTAAACTTCTCTCCATGATTATTTATTTAATAATTTTAACTGCGGTCATTAAGTGTGCGGATACCGTGCGTGACGTGTGTCGGAATCAAAACCGAATAGATATATTTTTACTGGAATATATAAAAAATATATCTATTGGCAACTATATTGAAAAAAATGAAAAAAAATTAATTTAAGGAAATAAACATTTTTTTCATTTTCATTTTTTCATCAGCTAAGTAACAGATATTATACCACTAGCATTGCCGGGATTGGGCTTTCCTAACATTCTCACTTGTTTTCCAAAGAGAAGGAGCTCTTTGCAAATATAGCCAGAGAAGTAGAATAACTATACAATGTGTACTCAATAAATACCTCTCACAAATATTATAACCAGAATGATGAGTATGATAGAAGTATGCATATGAGCTATACATTTAATATTCCTATGATATACGCTTCTGTTTACAAGATAATGTAAACTACAATTCAAAGGATATATCAAGTTGATTCTAGCATCTTTTGTAACTGATGTAATTACAAACTTTGAAGATAGTTATGACAGGATGAATGTCATCGTATGTTATAATGTAACTAGGTATGTTTATGCTTTTGAAATGAGATTAAAATACCTACATATGAAATCTTTTGAGAGAGTAAATATAAAAATTAGGTGTACTTATTCAAAGCTAAACCTATACTAATTCTAACAGAGGCAGCAAGCGTTATATGCCCGGTAAAGCAGCGCCATCTATAGAGTCCAATTGTATTTCCAAACAATCTAGGAGTTTATTTTAAATTTACACACAATATTTTATCGAAATCGGTCTAGTGTTTTAGGAATGGTTAGATGACAACTCAACGTATGTAATTATATTGAGATAGCATTACGCAGAAAGAGAATGATAGAGCCAATTTTTGTTATGAAAAATTACTTTCATGATAACGAACTCTGGCACCACCACCACAAATTTGATTTCACAAAGTTATGAGCCGCCGTGAGTACGCCAGCACGGGACGTCATCGTATAAATACAAAAATTATGCCAAACCCAAGCGGTTTCGTCCTTCGTCATATTATATATTAAAAAATATAACATATGCTCAAGATTATAATCCTGGGATTATAGAGCCGTTTCTCAACTGTTACTGTTATGGTTAAAGTTAATACGATTCGACGAATAAAAGAACAGAATCATATAGATATTTTTCAGGATATCAGAGTAACTACTATATCAGAATTCTACTAGAATTCTGATATAACGGATCCTCACTATTTTCGATTTAAATAAGTATTCAGCCTGATATCATGATAAATATATGATTCTGTTCTTTTATTCGTCGAATCGTATTACCTTTATAGATACTTTATAAGTATAGAAGTTTATACAATCGTTGAATATTTGTTAAAATTGCTTAAACAGTTTAACGGATTGGAATGCCTAATTATCTGACGGAATTTTTACCAGTATTACCTTACTTCTTAGTTTTCAAGTATCAAAAATGTGCGTAAACATTATAAGTATAATTTTAGATATATATAAAATTCTCGTGCTAAATGTTAGTTACCATACACCTCCGAAACGGCTTGGCCGATTTTTATGAAATTTTATATGCATATTCAGTAGGTCTGAGAATCGGCTACTATCTATTTTTCATAAAGTGAGTAAAGTAAAGTTTTCCTAAGTGAAGGGTTCTCCACCCCTAACATTATTTTTTTATTTTTTGGGCAAATTTTTTTATTTATATTAATTTAGAAGATGGCATTAAAAAATACATACAACCGTAAATTTTCGCCCTTCTAGCATCAACCGTTATTTTTAAATAGCGATTTTAATTTATATGGCAGAACAACGTTTGCGGGGTCAGCTAGTATAATATAATAATATGAATATTGCTTTACACGAACTGATTTATATCAGTACACAGATAAAGTAAGATTATGCAGAAAGTAGGAATTCTTAAAGACGATTGTTATTATGGTGTTTATTGTTTTTTCATAACTTCTAAATACCTACTTAATATGACAAAACCAATAGAATTCAATCTCAATTAAAATTTAATATAAATATCATATTAATAGACAGTAGGTATGAGATAATACTTTATTATTATAAACGTACAACATTTATTTGAAAATAATACGAGCTAATTTTATTGTCTGTGCTTCTCATCTCTAAATCATTCCGAACAGACGGATTTGACGTATCATAAGAGTCTGTAATAGACCTACTATGAATAAAAATAATTTTAATTTTAATTTTTTTACCAATTTTATTGTACTTTCCGCAAGACTTATAGAAACGAATGTCCAATTGAGCATACTTCGGTGAAATCTTAATTGAAAAGGTCTACCATTTTAGTTGGTATCTACTGCCACATTGGTTATAAAACCAATATGGCAGATACGAAGGTTAAATAATACAATTACGAAGGAAAAAACATAGGTATTTCATTATTGAAACTGTTTTTCTGTTAAAATTTACCGAGATCAAAAATATTTTGCGTGGGAATTGCATACAGGTTAAGAGACATGCTCTGAAAAGGCAACGCCTAGAATCATAGGTGTCACATGATAACGTGACATTTAGTGATGTTTATGTATGTATATATGCGACTGTTATCACTTACTATCACGTGGGCCGTCAGATTGTTTGCTAGTTCAATAATATAAAATAAATTATTTATACCTTCGTACATCTTGTAAGGTACACAAAATGATATATTATTTTTGCTGACGGCCCATTATGGCTATGATGGAATTTTATTAAACATTAGAAAACGTTATGTCTATCCTATCCGTTAACATTATTTAAATTAAGTAGGTAGCTACGGCTACTATATAAATAACAAACACAGCTTTACCTAATAGTCGTGTTGACTGACTGTACATTTATTAAATTGGACGTAACATATTATGGTTTCTATTTACTTCCTCCTTATAGCTGTTAAAGTAGAACATTGATTGAAGAGTTTTAGTACTATATAGTTGTACTTACATTCTGTAACACAAAAACAACTAGAGGAATTTAAATAAATAATTAGGAACTATAAAAGATAATACCTACATTGTCTATGAAATAGACGTCAAGTAACATTGCTGTAAATCTTTTCACTTATAGATTTACGATCGTGAATTGTACCACAACAAACAAAACATTCCAAACAATGACTTTCATCTGTAACACCAACACTCGTGTTACATTCGTTAGGAAATGTATAAACTAATGGAAAAAAAATTCATTTGGCGGGTACTCTTTTAAATTTACTATTATCTATTAACTCATTCACTCATGTACTCCAATATGTCTATAATACAAATCTCTTGTTGTTTAAAATAAGCTTGCTTTATAGATATATTACTACAATATTTTTCATATAAATTACGTTGATATACGTAAAATCTATAATTAAATACACAAAATAAAACATTTTTTATAATAAATGCGTGTTAATTATTATAAATAATGCTTTACTTGACAGCCTAAATAGGCAAAATTATATATAATTAAGACTAAAGAAGAATAGAGTGTAGCATTCATTTAAACTACTATAAATGTACAAAACTAACCGTATCTAGCAATACCTGGCCATAAGTACATATTATTTGTGATACAAAACATATGTTGTTGCATATGTACTTGCTACAAATAAGAAAAACTACATTCGCATATTATTAGAAAGCTAATGAAATGCTTAAACTAATTAAAAATGCAATAAATTAATCTACCTTGGTCTACTTATTTGTATTATTAAATAATGGATTGAGTACAACAAATACTAAAAAATATTGGGCCCTAAATTTGATAAAAACCGTGTATAAAACAATATGATACTATATACAAGATACATACATATATACCTATTGACTCATTATGAACTAGCACAATCTCGTTTACATAACAATATTATTCTAATACTGACTACTTCAAAACCAACAGCGAAACATGTATTAAATATTTATTTTATCGTATTTGCTTCCAAATGTATGTATATATGTCATCCCATATGTATGTTATGAAATTAAACTGTGAATAACAGCTAACGCTACAATAACCTACTTATATATTGAATCACAGAAAAAGCTATTATATCTCTAAGAAATGTCAATATTGTAAAATAAAACCACCTACTTTGTATAGCAACCCTTATTAAATGAACCAGTTGCACAAGGCAAATCATGCCGAAGAAAATTAACTTCCTAACATAACGCCAATGTTTCTCGCTAGCTAACTATAGACATAATATACCTAATACCATATTCAACGCGTGAGAATAATTAAGGCCGAAACTTTGGCAGACATGTTACCCTTGCACCCTCATTCAACAACTTGTTTATGATGCTATTGAATTGCTGCGTAAGTTTTGATAAATTATGAGCACCGTAAAAATTTTATACTACAAATTTACTAAAGTTGATATAGGTAGACTGACGTATATCAATCAGTTCGAAATGATTGTATAAAATATACAAACAAAATAGGTAATTTGTTATTTATATGGGTAAAGTATGTTGATATTAAATTAAACAGTATTGATAAAATTTCCATGACAAACACAGAGTAAAAAAAATACTTCGTACAAAATTTATTTTAGTATGGACTTGTAAGTTACAGACACACAAATTACGTAGCATTACGTAATGCCAAACTTGTATTATGCGGGAATCGAATCGCAATTGAAGCAGTCTCGGAAACTACTGCACTGGATTAGAAATGATGTTAAAAAGTTCTAAAAAAACAAATTGTATTGTAATTGTATTTATATTTCAGCGGTGTTGTGTTCCGACTTCGTGTACCCATTACGACCAACTCCGTAACCTTCATATGTACTCATAGAACTATCGTAACTTTGTAGATACCTTGCTACTAATTGTCTATAATAATTGACGCATTAAAACTTTTGAATGAAAAATATTCACAATTATAGCTAATACCTTGATTTTTAATTGTGAATATTTTCATTCATAAGTTTTCATAGGTCTATCCTATCCTACCTATCATATTAAATTGCTATTTTTTATTTCTTTATACTATTTGGAACTCTTAATGTTAGTCGTGATTCGTAATCATATGGCAATGTATAATTCTGTATAACATAATAAAGCATATCTTAAATTATCCACATTTAAACATACTGTCGTTATATAACATTACATTCTTTGTTCAATTTAAGTTATGTTTTATGAATAGATTTTCCTTAGCTTAGCGAGTGTCTTTAAAGTATTTATTTACATAAGTAATCACACCGTTACACCGTTTCATTACGCATAACTATATGGGTATATACGCTAAAGGCAGGATTAATTTAAAAGTGAAATAAAGTGCCTACGATAGTAAGTGAAAACCATAAACAACATAATAGCTATCTTCACACAGTAGCTCACTTGTAGCTCGTATTCACAAATCCGACAGACATTCGTACTGACGCGACCCTATCGACAAAATTTTAAACTACAGTATTTATTTGTTACGGTATTGTCCTCGTATAATAATATTATAAATATAAGCGATAATATGAAAAATCCAAGTTAGTGCCATCGCTAAGGCATAAATAATACATATTTCCTTAGTAATCAATATATTACAAAATCACACCATCAATACATAATTATGTGCCTCATTTATTATTATAAACGAGTTGTTGACCTAAGTCTACATTGACTAACATAACATTATGTATTGTAGTACATTGAAATATTGTCAAAACTAACATATGTACCTAACGTGTGTATAAAATGAATATTTCGATAATGTATATTTTGCTCGTTATTCAATAGAAGTTTTAATGTATATATACATTCATTCCCGAATAATCTTCAGTTAAACAGTTTTCAAAATAGATGTACTGTCACTGCAAGCAATATCTATTAGAGATAATCCACCTGTGTCAAGACTGTGTACCTACTTATCTAAATATTTTTGTATGCACTTTATTGAAGTATAACATTTTTTTTTAAATATACAATTAATATCATATTAGTCGTAAAAAATGGAATTTATTTTTCTTCTTTATTTGCCTGTATATGCCTATTAAAAAATCTAAATCGTAATTCTAAATCTTTACAGAGGCAGTGACTAATTCTTTCAATATAAAATGTACCTACATAGTCAGTAGCCGGTAAAAGTATCACGTATGTATCGTTTACAATAATAAACAGTATTCTGCGTTGTCATAATCCTGACTGTATATACTAAATAAGTAATCCGATACCGACAGACCGACGTATCGTGCTATTCGTACTATCCGAGTAGTAACAAAATAAGAATATTTCGTGTACTTCGTCTTTTTAGAATACGCCTGCAAGAGAAAGAATACTTATAATGAAAACATTTAAATCTACCATTGAATAATTTACTGAATACTGCGTGAACCGTCATCCTTGGAAAAACCGTATCGTCTAATAGAATAAGTATTATATGTATATGGTACATATAATACTTACTCTATTAAAGGCATAACAAAAAAATACTGTAATGCTATAGTAATTTAAAAGATAGCTACATATTTTTTTTAAACCTTTATTTACTGAGACATTTAAAAAAAACTAAAACTGAACGGTGTATTGTCCATTTTTCTAAAAAGTAGGACCCTACTTAATTATTTCCGGTCCTGCTTTAAATAACTGATTTCCTAATGTATACCATCTAAACTTCATTAAAAATGCAGTGCATAAGAAACAATAGCATCATAAATTATATTTTTATTAGGAAATAATATAAACTTGTATTCGGCATACATTCTTACTTATAAGTTCGATACATGATTTTTTTTAATTTGACAAAAATACTAAGTATTTTCCAATACTCGAATAATATGTTAGTTATAAACCAAAGTACTGAATTAACCTAAATATTTTCTATTGTTTAATTAGGCTAAATATATATATGTCCGAGTATGTGTTAATAGAAATTAAATAAGATTATCATTCGTATATGTATTTATTTACATAACAAAATGTTTTGCAAATGACCAACAGATTCAGTTAAGAGCATGAAATAACTTCACTATTTAAATTATTACAACTATTATATATATATGGGCACAAACATTAACTTTTAATTGTTTTTTTAATTCTAGAAACCTAATCTATTTGTTTAAATTGTATTACAAACGAATGACCTAACGAAACCAATTAGGTATAACAAGAAAATAATTTTTTAGTATATGACAAAATAGCATACGATAAAAATGTAATGTCCAATAGTTATGTATTAATATGCTAGTGTTATATATAAGGTATGAGATGTGTCCGTATCAATCTTTGCAGTGAGAGTAAGAGTGGTGGCGACCGGCTGGCGACGCCTCGGATGTCTCTGCTGGGAAAACCGCTCAGTTACCGCGCCACGCGACGCGACGCGCGATATCGCCGTCTACAGTCCAAGTTCTACAACTTCCTCGAACGACCCAGGGGTGTAAAGGCTGTCCTGTATCATATGATTGTGTAAGTCTTCTCCAGCGAGACATTAACCCACTTTTTCTATTTGTAAACAACACTGTTTTCGTGATACTTATCAACTACCAGAAAGAATAACAAAACACTTTGTGTCGAGATTAATGTAAATAACGGTTAGAAATTTATGTATAGCACAAATTTACAAGCACAATTTACTTGCCATATTAGTTGTATTACTTTTTTGTCTCCCTACAGTATCTAAAAGATTTATGCTAATTCTCCTCCTCTTCCTCATAATTGCCATTTTATTTTTGAGTCTATGAGGTTCTCGCCTTTCCTCATGTAAAAAAATGACTTTTTATCTGAGAGCGAAAAACTTCATATACAATCGTTTATTTGTAACAATAAATCTGAATACGCTATACTTATTTTAATTTTGATTTTCACTGCAAAGAGCATTTCACGAGGTTGTTTGCTGTTACATTCACAACAAATGTTTGAAGCCGTCGGTCTGTGAGTTTAAAGTTTACTAGCTGTCGTACTGTGCTCTCTCATTACACATATATACTGTGTTCTCGTATTTATTTCTAACTGCTAAAAGAGAGTCTTAATTCGACTTATATACCTACGTTATCTCCGCCCAAACTAAATTAATTCCAATAATTACTTTTACGATCGATTTATTCTTGTGTTGATTTCATATGCAAATTTACGTCACAAATGGTAGTCGTTATTTTTAGGGTTTACCTACTTAACTTTCCCTAAATAGCATGAAAAGACTTAACAAAGTCAAGCGTTACTTTCTTACCCGTAGGTAATACTCATAAATATCCTGAATAAATACGTCTGTATTTTTATGCAGGTTCCTGATGGTGTTCATGTGTTTGTCGCTGTCTGTATTCTCTACGATCGAAGAATACGAGGCGAAGGCTGGGATAGTTCTGTTTTACATGGAAACTGTTGTTGTAATCTGGTTTGCTATCGAGTTCTTTCTAAGGTAATTATTTCTTTATTAGCAGTATACTTAAATAATTAGTATAGCCCCTAAATAAATACCGTATCCTCACAGATTTAATTAACTATTATACTTTTTCCTTTAGCTATTTAAGCATACGTTTTATAAGAGTTAGCATCTCTCTTATGAGAATACATCTTATAAGAATAAACTCTTCTGAGAATGAACTCCACATTCAGACAAAACCTTCAAAGTTAATGTATATAAAGAATTGCTTACAAATTAAGCTAAAAAAAACTGCTTATAGGTATAAATATCTTGTTGAGAACAATACAAATCTTTTTGTTAATTAATTTGTACTTGAATAATAAAAAAAAATACGTATGTTTTATTTAAGCGAACTGTTAGTTTGCCTCACAATATTTAAATTTTGCTCCCAAAGAGTTATATATTATACATTTTTTTTTTATACCACTTAGGTGGCAAACAAGCATACGGCCCATCTGATGGTAAACGGTTACCGTAGCCTATGGACGCCTGGAACACCATGGGTGTCACATACGCGTTGCCGGCCCTTAAGAAACCTTAATATACCCTTCTTGAAAACCCCCATGCTGTAGTCTCTCGAGAAAACCTCGGCAGGTAGTTCATTCCACAATCTAAGTGTACGCGGGAGGAAGCTCCTCTGAAACCGCACTGTCCGAGACCACTTAGGTTCCAGCGTGTGGGGATGAATTCCCTGTCGATGGCGAGCGGTGCGATGGTAAAAGGTAGCCGTAAGCATCATGTCAAACAATTCATCAGAACACAGTCCGTTGTATATTCGGTAGAACACACAAAGCGATGCGAAGTCTCGCCTCAAGCTAAGTGGTTCGATACCGTTAGAGAGATTGGGATCATCGACAATTCTCATAGCACGTCTCTGAACCGAGTCAAAAGGACCGAGCTGGTATCCAGGTGCTCCTGCCCAAAGATGAGAGCAGTACTCCATGTGCGGCCGAACTTGCGACTTATACAATAGAAGTCTCTGGTTCGCAGTGAAGTACCGCCTCGCTCTATTCAGCACACCGAGCTTCTTGGACGCCAGCTTGACCTTTTCTTCGAGGTGACTACGGAACTCAACTGTGCTAGAGATGTCGACACCGAGAATCCCAATGCTCTTAGAGATGGTAATGGACGTGTTCTGGAATTGCGGAGCCACAGCAAAAGGGGTTTTCTTAGCGGTGAACGCGCAGGCTTGTGTCTTGGTAGGGTTGAATTGAACTAAGTTCAATCGCCCCCAATCGGTGACTCTGGTGAGAGTACTCTCGATTTCAGACACAAGCTGTTCGCGCTTTGACTCCGAATACATATTGTATAATACATATACATATATCCTTCCTTTATAGGATTATTAAATTATTATTATTTATAAATTATTTATATTATTATTAAATTTATGTTTATTATTGCCATCACATTTCTTGTGACATACATTTTACCAAAGTTCAGTTATTTCATTTGTTCGGTTCTTGTTATTAATCGCTGTGCGTATGTATTTATTTTAAACTTTTAAACGGTGGTGACATATTGGATTCGTAATCCGTCACCATTTTGTATTTCAGTAGAAATATATGTGATATACGTGCATTATAATAAATTATTTATATAGAATATTATTTTACAATATTTTACACCTAAGTACACGGTAAAGTAAATTGATAGAAAGTCATTGATTTAATTTGTTTATTATAAATTAGAATGACGAATAGGTATTATATTAATATGTATGTTAATAACTAGCGATAATTATAAACTTTCGTATCTCCAATGCCATTATTTTTTTCATGCTCAAAAATTTTACAGTTTCGGTCTTTAATATATATTCAAAAGAACAATGAACTGCCTTGGTATCTTGATAAGAATATAGGTCCTATGTATATGCAGTAAAGAAGTTTTGGCATGAATTACATAATTTAAAGCTACCATGACATTCCTTTGTTATGGTACAAATAAAAAAAACAAAGTATGCCCTAAAGTAGATAATATATGCACTAGGATCTTATATTTTAAGTAACATAGGAATACACACTAAAATGTTATATAATACTTATTTTAATATCTACGACCGGCACAGTTAACAGAATGTGACGCACTCGTACCTACTCGTAGATAAGCTCAGAGAGCTTACCGCGCCTGAAGTGATTCGTCACTCAATGAGACGGATTGCTCCGCTTCAACAGGCTTTCATTCCATTATTATATTTTTGTTTATTTTCTGTTCACTTAAAACAAAGTATTGCTTTTATTTTCAATAGTTACAGAACAACAGCAAAGTTTCTTTGGATTTATTTGGATAAAGAATGTTACTGTCTATTTAACTTATGTATTTGAGACAGGTCTCGTTTAGTACAAAAATCATTTCCGTAATACCTACTCAGCCTCATAGCCTTAGAGTCATAGAAATTAATTTAATTTAATGAATTCAGGTTATAATACAAAACCAAACGTATTCTGTTATATCATATAGAAATCTATAGAAATACTAATTACATATTTTAATTAAATTATATTACTATCTAAGTAGGTATGTTGAATTCATCCTACTAATCAGCATTATCCTCGATCCTTTGCCAAAACTAATTAAGCAACTAGCCTCACTAATCGGGGTCTAGTCCTCTTGAATTGGTTTTATCTTATCCATAAAATTATCAGTAGGTAGGGTTTAAGTGATAAAATTAAATGTGAAAGTACAAAGTTTATGTTCTGTATGTGTATTTGGTCGATAATAGGGACAATATTTAAATTCGACATGAATACATGAATCTTACTATAAGTTAAACGTACTATTATCGGAAAAGTATTGTGCTTTTGCAACAATAATAAAAAATATATTATATTTATTTATTTAATATTATTATGAAATATAGATCAATCAAACAATAAGCAATATTTTGCAAATTTCCACAACATTAAATTAATCACTAATATTAATTTAAAGGTGTGGAGTAATATTAGCCAGAGCTCATGTAAGAAAATGAAAACATTTTATACGGTGAAAATTTTATTATATCCTTAATGGCAACAGATATTCTAATATTACTTTTTTCGACGCATGCTGATGGTAGATTAAATATTTCATAGTTATAAAACGGAATCATTTAATATTGATACGTAGTCTATTTTGATATAATAAAAAAAAATTGAATTCTACTTACATGCCTTCACAACTTGAAAAATTGATCTAAAACGGCTGGAAGACCCTGTTTAAAAAATATTTTATAATCAATATATATATCATCGCTCAGTGATATTATATAGTATAAACTTTCTGTATACCTTTATAAAGAATACTGTTGGGTAAAGGTATTGACGCTAGCGTAGCAGACTGCCGTCGTGAATCGACGTCATCGTCTTGACAACGTATAAAATACTCTTTTTTCCGATTAAAAAATAATCTATTTATATGTTTGATAGTCTGTGCAAAATAATATCTGTGTAAAATATGAGGCAATATTATTAGTTATATAATATTAAGTTAAATAGCGTAAATTTATATATATATATATATATATATATATATAATAAATATATATTTGTACGACCTCTTTACTCTCTGGGGGCCCGAAAAACATTACCAACGTACCCCGACATGGTTAATCCGACCCTGGCCACAACACAGAGATACCTAAATCTATAACACCCCTATGGGAGGTCCTATACTAACCACTATATGTCACTTTCACGCGACACCCCTTTTCACACATATTATTTATCTCATTTACGAATACAATTTATCGTCGATTTTCCTGTTCCGAGGAAGTTCTTATTTTAATTGTAGGTACTTTGTTACGAACACTTAGCTATAAATGATTATTAAATCTATAAATGATTATTTCGCAAAGAAAAAACTATACAGTTGCAATTGCAGTCAATCTATACAATGTAATTAATTGACCAGGTGCCTACATACCATACATACATACATACCTCATTAATATAAAAAAAAAATTACGTTAATTATAAAATATCATAGTGGCTTAATAGTTTACTACAAAAGTCGTTCGTATCTGGCAGACAGAAAATACTTTGTCCAATTGATGGAATATAATAAAATTTACTCTGACTCTACAGAAATACCAATAACAAATTAATTAACCTGAGAGATAACTTTTGTATAGAATACTCAAGAGTATATTCTCCTATAAAATATTTGTAAAGTTTTTTATATTTATAGCATATAATATAAATAATTTTTTGTTTTTTCGTCTGTGTAAAAACACATACATTTCTTACAGATACAAAAACTTACAAAAATACATCTAATAAAATATTCCTAAGTTTAATTGACATGTATGAACCTGTACCTATGTACAACCAACAAGTTAGTTGTTAAAAAAGTAAACCATATTTGTTTCCTTTAAGGTTGTAGTATGACGATACAGATACGTAATTCGTCGTAAAAAGTATTCTGATGTTCATGTGCATGTACTTTTTTAATATTATTTATCTAAAACAAATAAACTGCTTGAACTTTACTAAGTTTAAATACTCTGTGTATAATAAATAATATAACGGTAGCTTATTAAAATTTACGTTTTTTGTGTATCACATTAAATATATACTACTGAAACAAAAATTGTTTTTGCTTGCCGGCATGAATTACTTGTAAATAACATGTAACTGTCGAAAATATTTCATTTTACAGAATTATCGTTATGTTTATTTATCTAGACTACAGAAATCTAAATACTTGCTCTATAATTATTGGTTTGGATGTAACTGTACGAAAATAAACCTGTTGGGAGTGAAAGAAAAGTCTCGAAATATCTAAATTCAATCTTTAGGTAGAACAGAAAAGAAATTATTTGCTTTCATTACTTCCAATACGAAAGTGCAAAAGAATAAGGAATTGGGTTTTACGATGAGTATTTAGAGAAGCAAATGTAAGTGGGGACGTCGGTCGAGGACTGTCGAGAACGCACTAGAAGGACGATTGCAAATCAAAATGGTAATATTTAGAATAGGTCTACATTTTTAGAGGAGGCTTACATATAGAGTATTTATTTATTCCCCTATAGACAAGGAAATTGCTTACACGACGGATGTAGTATACTTGATGATAATCTCAATTGATCAATCACCGCGCTGTACACAGAAAGTATTTAAAACAGCACACAGTCTTATAGTTTTATTAAAAATAATTAATTTTAAAATTCAGATTACTATGGGGCATGGCTAAGGATAGACGACACATAAAATATAACGACATAAAAAACTAGACTATTTTCCTTGATGTCATTTATTGATAATAACTGACCTCTGTAGTAAAGTACTAAAGTTCTCATTCTATATAAATGTGCATCGATTCAAGCACGATTACCATTTTGTTGGTAATTTACGTATTATTAATTGCTGCTATTTTATTAACTGCTAAGTGTCTGCCCGACGTCGACGTAAACTTTATCTAAAAACTCGGAATTTAAATTATCGATTAGAAAATATATATACATATATCGACATCAGTGGGAAAAACGGACAATATATTAAAACTAGCTGTTCCCGCGACTTCGTCCGTGTTTAACTTTATTTTTCTAAAATAAAAGATTTTTCTAAATTAAAAGTAGCTTAAGTTAGGTACTCCTTATTACATCAGCTACTACAACTATACACAGCTATATACAGCTAGGCCAAAAAAGTCCCGTTAAAGTCTGTCCAGCCATTTCAAAGATTAACCGGAACAAATAGACAGACAGACAAAAATTGTAAAAAATGTTATTTTGGTTTATGTACCGTATTTATATATTCATACATTCAATTATAAATATTTTGGTTCCATGCAATAATAGAGACTTCAATGTGTGTGTGTATAACTCAAACAGGTGGACACCAAAAAAATTGGATTTGGGTATCAATTTGTATTTGTGGTTGACACTCGTGTAGTGGCAACATCGATGGCAAATCAAATTAAATCGAGATACGTGAAATGAGATCATGTCAAGTGTTACGTTTATCATAACGTTGACAGATTACAATGCCTCTGACTAACTACTCCATTTGAAATAATTGTCCTGAAGGAAATCATATGCATATGATACAACTACATATACCTATTTGTAGATTATATCAAGAAATATACTTAATTTACTTTCCAAAGGCACACAACATATTTCTCTCAAAATGGGAAACGTCGACGAACCGTGATAAACGGTCGAACGCTCAATCTAAATACCCTTTCCTCTAACTTTCATCACATAGTACATCGTGCGTTGTTTTATACCATCATTGTATATAAAGATTAATATAAACGGTGATATTAGTTGCAAATATAACTAGTATTATTTTTGTAACATAATAAGTAGGTACTCATATTCTTAGTTTTCTAAAGTAAAAGTAAATAAATTTGTATTAATTAGAAATACATAAATATATATACATGTATGCCCGCAACCGCAATTGCATTATTCTCACGATCGCGTGCGAGTTAGATAAGTTCCTTCTTTATAAGTGTAAGCAGAGAATGCAATCCTTAAATTACTTCTTTTGAATCCGTATTCATCGATAGACTAAATCTTAAAAACTGCCAAGAAGATATATGTATACATAAGTCAATTTTATTTATTCGCTCATTTTTAGTACATGTACTCTATAATTTGTATATTTTTTAAAATAAGAATAAGTGACGTGTAGTCGAATTACACATAAACATTATCTAATTTTTTTCTCACAAATATAAATATACCCATAGGAACGGATTCGTGAGAACGAAGCTAGCCATGAAAAGAATTTGTAATAATGTTTTCTTTCTTGTTCCTAGATTATGGTCATCAGGATGCAGATCCCGGTATCAAGGTTCTATGGGTCGCCTCAAATTTTTGAGGCGACCTTTCTGCATAATCGGTGAGTTTCAATAGTGTTATTACTAATAACGAATTATTGTAATTTAAGGTGATTCTAGTTTATTATTGCTTAGAAAACGGAAAGAAAGATTTCTTTATGTGATAAAAGTCGCAACTTCGTCGGATTTTTTTTTTACTTTATATATATAGTTCAATTACTGTTGTTGTGTACCTAGTATATAAATACTGGTACACAACAACAGTACAGTAGTATATCATTATGTAACATTAGTATAAAATTTAATTAGTTGTAGTCGTTGTTGTTAGTCTGGTTTCTTGTGAAGCATTATGAGCTAATTATTATAGTTAATAATTCTATTCGAGATACTCATGAACGAAGACTGCTCGCAAGGATGCTCTGATCATTTATATATTCATATGTACACTTTTATGTTTTGATGCAAATCCTTTTACCTACAATTAATTTATTAGTTTAAGTGCTTCTAGGTAATGGCCGACCCGAACTATCGTTTTCGGCTTAGGAGTTTAAACTTTGGTTCAAAGATAGAAATAAAACATGAAGAAAGAAACCATGTTCGTGATTAGCTGTGGTATAGAGTTTGTCAAAATTTATTCATAACGCATGTAGTGCTCATAGATAATCACAGGTTATACAATTTATTCCTTATATTTGCATTTTAAATGAAAAGAATTTTAACATGAAAATATTACTACCAAATTATATTACTATCCTGAAAACTTGGCAATCAATCATATCATAAAGAAACAATTTGAAATGTGGAACGGAGTTTGATACATTTCCAATTTTTATTTAATCGTACTGAAATTGATTTCTGGAATCAAAAAGTGTCTAAATATTAGATATGTTACTCCGTTCTACATATTTTACTGACTTAGTATTGCTCTTATTTAAATTATGTTGTCACAATATTACATAATTGTCTTTGTAAAAGTATAACTGTGCCATCTACTTTCAAACTGAGCGAAACTCTTGTAACTTTGTGAAACATTGTTAAACAAAGTACCCCGCTGCATCTGTCTGTATGTTCGCGATAATCTTAAAAACGATTTTCATGGGGTTTTCATTAATCAGTTATGTAATTCCTAAGAAAAGTATAGTTGTAAGTTCGTGAATGATAGTATGAAAGTAGTAGTAGTATTCATAAAAAAGACCTAATTCGGTCTTTTTTATACAAATAGTCATACGTAACTACAGTAAGTACTAAAGAAAACAAATGTTTATGTTGTGCTGGAATCAAAACCACGATAATCAATTGAAGTGGTAAAGTGAGGCAGTGCGCTAAACCGTTGCACTACGGTCGTCTATCAATTTCAAACTTATTTATATATTCTACAAATGTGTAATTTTTCACACGTTCCAAAATACGATGTGTGAGTTTTAAAAGTTGAAACTACAACTATAATAATAAATAATACTCGTATGTTACAACGAGACTGCGATGAGTATTCTTCCGAACAGATGCACTTGTTCAACCCTAATGAGTACGGTTCCTGCTGCAAATTTCGTAAATAAGAAAACAAAAGAATCTAAAGATAATAATTTATTAATTGATATATTGACCACTACTAATGTTCCTCTATTCCAGAATTTTGTTTTATTACATTTAAGGTTTGTTTTATTACACATATAACTTATTTTCCTATTAAATATAATTTTATATTATATAATATGATAATTTCAGTATAATATAACAAATTTCACTTAAGAAAATATTAAAATTAATATAAAAAATTGTATTAACAAATTAAAATAATACTTACCTACACTAAACATATAACTTTAATTCTATTTGTTGATATATAAGACAATTCTCTAAATCTAAAAATCTAGTTTACAAAAACAATTGTCGGAGTAAATTGAGGATACTACCGAACAAATATGACAAAACAAGTTTTCCGCCAAAAATATTGTAAAGGCGTAGTCAAGTGTTCTTACATTTTCAACATTTCCAAGTAAAAGTCACGATCCGTCCATAAACCGTGACGAAGTGACCCTATTTCAGGTGCGACCAATCTGCTGTGACCTTCGCATTTTCCACCTCCTTCCAGCGGCAATAGTTTCGTGCGACCGCCATTCGAGTCTCCGGGGAACCGGCCCGCTCGAGACCGTACTAACCGCCAAATATGGCCGCACGATATCCCAACTGGGAACAATAAAATGAACCTCTCCAAATTATTCAACTCGGCTTCAATTATTAATGTCTCACTTCTTTCTACTCGTTTGGTAAATGAATGAACTCGGTATCTATGATTTACCCTACAATCTCAGATAGGAAAATCAGTGGTTTAAGTCAACAGCTTTACGCAATTTTCAATATAATTACTTATAATTATTTTAAATATTCTTAATATTTAAAATATACTTTTTTTCTACTAGATGTTACAACGATCCTCGCTTCGTTAGTGGTGTTGGGCATGGGCTCTTCTGGGCAAGTGTTTGCGGCGTCTGCTCTAAGAGGACTGCGGTTCTTCCAGATACTTCGTATGGTGCGAATGGACCGCCGTGGCGGTACCTGGAAATTACTAGGCTCCGTAGTTTACGCTCACCGACAGGTTATTTAAATTTTGTTGTAAATGAAATAGAAGTAACATACTGATTATTACTATTAGACCTTAAAATGTATATAATAAAGACTTTCATCATCATTTACATCTTCAACACAAAATTTCATGTTTTTCGAATATCGTTCTCTACTCGACGTGTATAACATCACAAGAGATTTGGAGGCGAAAATAACAATAGGCAAAATCAAGCTACACGTGACGAAATGTTAGGTACATGTATTCACACAAACGCATGAGATTCCGCTAGATATATTAATGTCTAACAGTTGTCAGTATCGCATTATAATTGTTTACTTTATAGGTTCCGGCCGAACTTACAGTAAAAAACCGATGGGTTTTAATAACCGTATAAATATAATAATTGTTTTTTAGCTAGTAGATACAAATTTAAAAAACAGAGTCTATTTTTCTATTGTTTAATAGAAAATCCTTTATTCAAATAATTCTTTATTTAATTGAACTATAATCATGCATGAAGCATTAATTGTCCAAATTATTTAATATTTATTCTTATTTAATATATGCTACCCTGCCATAATGACTGAATTATACGATTAAATACTGATAATAATCAGGCCTTTGTCTATTTATCCCTCTGGAGTATAAATACATTAAACTTGATATATTAAGAGGAATTTCTGATATGTTTAAATAATAAAGCAATCGACAAATATATTAATACTTAATAGTTATAGACATTCTTTCAGAATCGTTCTATTGATTGCAGGAACGTCATTGTTTATCTATTACTTTATGACCTTTTTAGAGTTCATCAAATAGTCGGTAGACTTTGTGTGAGGTATAATATATATATATATATATATATAAATAACTGCAGATGTAGACGAAGTCAAGATAGATAGATATGACTAATTTATAACGTTTCAATGGTATATGTAAACACATATACCTACTGAATATGTAATTCATGTTCATGTATGTGTATACTTGAACAAGAATTGAAAAATTTGTGGAACTTCTAAATCATGTTAAATATGAGTTCAAACAATCAACAACATTTTATACTTATCGATTCCATTAGTTTGTCTGCGGAGTCCTCCTAAAATAGATACTCTTAATTAATTTAAAAATTACGTAATGTACGTAGATATTGTAAATTATAATATTATTAATACGTTCTGAAAAAGTAGGAATTTAGACTAGTTTGCTACTATATTTAATAGGTATAGGTAGTCGTTTATTAAACTAGCCCTGCTAGATAAAAAACGAAGTCTAATATAAATGCAAAAATATTATGAAAGTAGGATATTATACAAAGAACTCGTAAGATTATGTAGAGTAGAACAAAGGAAAGTGTATGTTCTATGTGTAAATGTACAATTTAACACCGCACAAAGGTAACTTTAGCTATAGATATCTATACTAATATGTATTATATTATACAGACAAAAGATTTGATTGTTTACATTAAATAGGATCCGAAACTACTGGACCGATTTGAAAATTTCTTCTATCATTAGAATCCCATAAATCTGCTATGTTTCTGCTGATAAACAGAGGCGATAGAATATTTTCAAAAATGTTAGAGTACGTATGGAAACTTTGATAATGTAATCCAATGAGTGAAATTAAAACAAAATAATTTTTTTTATCGCGTATACTGCGTAAATGATTGACAATAGAACGAAGTGATATAATACTGTTATAGACACATCGATATAAATGGATATATGTGTGTCACAAAACTTTATATTTTTAAAATTTATTTAATACCCGTGCGAAGCCGGGATGTACCACTAGTGACATATAGTTTCATATTAATTTCATAACAACGGCGTAATTAATTATTTACGAACTCTTATGGAGTATTATTTATCTAGCTCATCCTGCTAACTATACATAACAAAGACAACGCAAACTGATGGTCGACTATAGTCATAGGAACAACAGAAGCAGAAGAATTTGATGTCAATCATCAAATGTATGTTTTCTGGATTCCGACAGATATTAAAAAATCGGTACTGATGCAGTTCAGTATTTAGCTTTATAAAAATATTATGAAACAATTCGCTGTTGAAGCACAATTTAAATGGACTTATATAAACAATAAATGACTCATTGATTCATAGCCACATTAGCTACTCTCAGAATAATTAACCTATTCTATTTAATACTTCATAATTATTAAATAGGTTCAAAGATTAAGGAGAGGTCCTTGGGCGATTCTCTCAATCCCCTTTACCAGACGAGGTGAATTAATTATAAGTACAGCTCGCATGCATAGCTATAGCTATGTCCGTATACGAGTACCTACGAGTTTAACATAAACCGTAATTTACTCGTAAATAAAACAGACGCTCCGTGTTAACAAATTTACTTGTACTTTACAATACATATTTACGCATATTATTAATAATAAATAATTTGTTGTTGACTGCATCTGACACCGCAACAATATTTTATGAGCAGAAAAAGAACTTTGCAATTCATACGTCAGAATTGTTAAAAATTACCATATTCTATGTATGCATGTAAATAATGGATATTTACATGCATATATGGAATATGGTAATCTTTTAATTATGAAATATTAGTTAGGATATATTGAACAATTAATGTCATCAATAGATAATTATGCCGTGAAACGATAAATTCTAGAATGTATTAAAATTTATATCACACGTATTATATTTAGGTCATCTGGCTCGAAGGATCGATGATAGAGTTAGGTAAATCATTTACTTGATAAATTACATGAATTATTGATTATCAAATATATAATGACAGTTAGGTACTACGAAAATGAATAATGATAATGAGAATATGAAGTACCATTGCTGTCCAATCATGATCTGATTTACGTATGTATGTACGTACACAATATTGTAGTAGGTATGTAGGTAAGTAAAATGTAGTAACTAAAGTGCTGTTAAATACAGAATATATAAAAACAAAATTTGACTTAGAGTGCGTGAGCACCGAAGTAGATACGCTACGAGATGTCTTTTTATTATTTTTTTATAATTATATATTTCAGAACTTATCTTGTTCCTTTGTCCAACATAATTTTTATGGTATCACGAACTGTAGAATCCTATATTTCAAGTATTTGATGACTCTTTTTTTTATCTACAAAGCTGTAGTAAATATAGATATTATACCTACGATAATGAGTAGCCCCTCGTCAGGCTTGTCCGAATGTAAGTTTAACATAACCATGCTGAGTAAGCAAAACGGGGCGCAATTTCCTTTGGCTTCCAAGTAGATATCAACAGCACAATACAAGCCAAGATTCAATACCTACTACACGATACTAACAGTAAGTTCGGATAGTTCAGGTTAAAGTTATATTACATCTAACAAAGTGTAAGTCCTCAATATTAACAATATCAGATAGGTACGAACATATTCGCTAGACCTCCAATAGTCAGGCTAGAAATAGAGAAGATGGCCGTGCTAAATCGAATCATATCGTCAATAGTATAATGTCCAGCTTAAATAAGTAACGACTATTAGGATTTAGCAAGTTGTAACTAACCTAACTTAATGCAAATAAATACGTCGTATTACAACTAATTCTAGCCTGTCATCATATGATATGTAAATTGTACATCCAACAACAAATTGTTATACCTCGACCAGACACAGTCTAATCACTCCTCTCCATCCTAAGGTTGCCTGGAAGAAATCGCTATTTAGCGATAAGGCCGCCCATTGTTACCTCTATATTATAATTATTTTGTTATTATTTTGTTATTAAACAAAAGTAATTTGTTGGTTATGAAATAAAGAAAGAAACGTATATCCGTAAACATTAACTAAACAGTATTTAAATGGAGTTATTTATTTCAGGAATTAATCACAACACTATATATAGGATTCCTTGGGCTGATATTTGCATCATTCTTAGTATATTTAGCAGAAAAAGATGTGGCAGATACAAAATTCAAAAACTTTGCGGAAGCCCTTTGGTGGGGTGTTGTAAGTATACAATTGAAGCTCGTAGAATTGTATTTAATAAAAAAAAACCTAAGTTATAACTAGAGTATGCATTTATCACAGATTACGCTGTGCACTGTGGGGTACGGTGATATGGTGCCACAGACGTGGCAAGGAAAATTTATCGCATCTTTTTGTGCTTTACTCGGTATATCATTCTTCGCGCTCCCTGCGGTGAGAACTACTTAAATACAATCACTTTGTGTTATTCGTTAATTTAATTCGTATCCATGTGTGCTGAAATATATCTACAAATGCAAATTCTTGTAGGGTATCTTGGGATCTGGATTTGCTTTGAAAGTACAACAGCAACAGCGTCAAAAGCATATGATACGAAGACGTCAACCAGCAGCTACCCTTATTCAAGCATTATGGCGATGTTACGCAGCTGATGAACATTCCATGAGTGTGGCTACATGGAAAATCCATCAAGTCCCACTTCCCAGCCCGCAAACCAGGTAAGTTGTTTTCTACAGCTGGTTTTGTACATATGCGGATGTCCAGATAGAAAGTAGTGATTGATAACTACAATATAATTTAAATGCACAATTCATTACGGGATGTGAAGTTTTTAAAAACGCTACAGTGCTTTGAGTGTCGAGTGACTGACGAGTGTATGTATATTTGACAGTCGGGTGATGAGTGCATCATTCAAGAACAATGCGTCTTTTGTATCCCGTCTGCCGACAATTCGCCGGCACAAGAGCACCTCGCTACATTCTCCCGCACCACACTCCAAACCGGCGCATCGATACGACGTCAACGCCAGTGCTGAAAACCTCGGTAAGCTAACTAACACCAATCAATAACTATAAAATGCACACTATACCCACAAACAATTTAATCAGTATTAGTGTGCAATAGTCAGCATTACATTTATCTTTACTTATATTCATTCTTTACAATAACTAACTACTTACTGTCTAAAATAACTCGCGAACAAAATGTCGCCACATTTAATCACTTTATTTAATCGCATGTCAAATTGATTTTAATCAATTTATTTTTATTTTATCAAAATTCTAGTTCTGTATAAATTTCCAATTCTATCCATGTATATGTTTAGTTACTTACTAAATCTGTTATTAAATTTTAATTTCAAAGTACCAACCAGCTAAATTACCGTCACCTTAATATTCGAATTGGGCTTAATTATCAAACAGACATTACACGGACTGTTCGCGCCATTTATAAACATATCAAGTGGTATGGTATTATTCCCCATATCCTAATCCCTTTCCCGCGCACAGTATGTCAACTGAGGTCGCCCGACGACCTCGTCTACTAACGTGAATGGTGACATCTCGTCCCAACCGCTCCGCTTTAAATTAATTAATATAATATTGACATTAACAATAAGTAACTTTGTGTGCGTGCCTGTGTTAAACTTAGTATTCATCGAGTGCAGCAGCTGTGCAAGAATACACCCGCTCTACAGTCGCAGGTACGTACTGTGCATCCCCCTTTATTTCAATTCCATACAGTCCACTTACCTTACCCGCTACCCCCATTTCTCCATGGTACGCCTTCGAACCGGATACCTACCGCTTAAATACTATAATTAGGACGAGATTTACATCCCCGCATAGATAGGTACATAATTTCATTATATTATACCGCCCGCTATAAGCCATACCGCTTCTTTGTACCTATTCGTATATTCACCCGCGCATACGCATTTTCTGTACTTAATATATTAGTACGCCATACCTATAAGCCTAGTCTTGGGTATATTTTCTAATAATTACCGCATTTACCGCTTAATTAAGAATAATACTTTATTATTTGTATAATACATATTACGCAGTAAGCGTACATACCTACCTACATTAATTTGTATTTTTCAACGCCAATAATCGTAACGATAATGGAGTCGAATTTAAAAATGCTAGAAGCTAAAAACAGAGCTATATTTCAACGTATTACAAGATTGCGTGATACTTGTAAAAATCTGTCACCGTCGTCAATCGACTTACGCTCCGCAGAGGCATTCATGGCGGACAGTGAAACCATTGATATACTGCGCCATGAATATATACAAAATTTAGATTCTATAAACGAGTTACAAATGCAGTTGAATCCTAAATTTGAACCTGATTACCAGGCACTTTTAACGTTTGAAGATATTTTTAGTCGAATAAAAAGATGTCGTTTAATATTAAGCGAAGCGAATAAGCCTTCGTCTTCACAATCGGTACCGCATAATAAATCTAGTATCAAACTAGAACCTCTCTGTATTCCTTGTTTTGACGGGAATATGTCCACGTGGTCTAGCTTTTATGAATCCTTTAGGAGTAATATTCATTGTAACACCGATTTAACCGATTCACAAAGAATTCAGTATTTACTTAGTAAATTAACTGAAGCGCTCAAAAAATAATGGCCGGTATAATTCCGTCTGGTGATAATTATACTTCCATATGGGAAAGTTTAGTAAAGAAATACCAGGATAAAAGGGCCTTAGGTTCATATTACATTTCTACATTATTTAACATTAAATCGGCCAAAAATAATTCCGCTTCATTAAATAATTTCATCGAAACTTTCGATGCCGCTGTTGCTGCTATGCGTCAATTAAAGATTGATGATATGCAAGATTTTATTTTATTGAACTTAGCCTTACGAAAGGTGGATTTAAGTACTACACAGGCTTTCGAAATGACCGCTAGAAATAAAGATATTCCGAGTTATATGGATTTTGTAGAATTTATAAAAAGTCAGGTGAAAATATTAGACCGCACGAATAATAATATTAATTCAGTAAGCCGCAGCACATTAACTAATATTAAAAACAACCGCCCGCAAAATGTACATTCGTTTGTTACACGAAGTGACACTTCTGGTCACCGAGCTCCTTGTTCTATGTGTAATACTTCGGAACATTATCAGTTATATACCTGTTCCAAATTTAAATCAATGCTGCCGAAAAATCGATTAGATTTTATTAAATCTAAACGAGGTTGTGTAAATTGCCTTAGTATAACGCATTCTGTGTCCACTTGTAATTCTAAATACAAATGTAGAACTTGTAATAAGCGACATCATTCCTTATTACATTTAGATAAGGCACAAAATAATAATACACCGCTCTGCACTCATCGATCTAATGTGATGAGTGATCGATCTACGATCGCCGCTCCCGCACTCCCGCCAGTCCCCTGTCGTAATGCAACGCAATGTAATTTGACTCCTGACGGGGACTCAAAAGCGCCCATTGTAATCGCGATGCCCGCACCTTTGTCGTTGTGCACTCGAGTACCTACCACTACAGCAGCCATGCCTGGTGTTGTATGTCCAACGAGTAAAGTGCGTACAGAGGTACTTCTGTCTACAGCGTCTGTTATTGTTCGTAACTATAACAAAAATATAATACGCACTGTTCGTTGCCTTTTAGACAATGCTTCGCAACATAACCTTATTACGATTGATTGTTGTAAACAATTAAACTTAAACATTATTCCGCTTACGAATTCATTTTTAAAAGGTGTCGGATTAACAACGAGGCCTATAAAGGGGTATGTTAAATTAATGATTTCCGATAAACATAACGAACAAAGCTTCACTATAACCGCGTTAGTTGTCGATTGTATTACCGATCGGCTACCTATTGAATATATAGATACGTCTGTTATAAGTCATTTAGTCGACTTACCGCTTGCAGATCCTCACTGGCATATGCCAGGTGAGATCGAACTTGTATTAGGAGCAAATTTGTTCCCTTATATTCTTTTAAGTGGAAAAATAATAAGTCCACCCGCACCGCCAGCCATAGAAACTATTTTTGGTTATGTTTTTATTGGTGACGTTCCCTGTAATAATGCGACCACATCTGATCGTGATCATATCGCGCCTCAACAAGACTCATCTTCCTCTGCTTTCTTAACATGTATTGAAAATAATCTTAATGTTTCTCTCTCTAAATTCTGGGAATTAGAGGAGGTTCCTATAAATAAATATTTAAGTCCCGCAGAAAAGGAATGCGAGCAAATGTACTCTTCTACCGTGTCCCGCGACTCGTCAGGTCGTTATTGTACTGTTTTACCGTTTTATAAGGATCCTAGCGAGTTAGGTAATTCCCGTATCACCGCTTTTCGTCGCTTGCTATCGCTAGAACGCAAACTAGAAAGTACAGGTTTGCGCGCTGATTATAATGCCATCATAAAAGACTATATAGACAACCAATATTTATCTGAAGTTTTAAATACATCCGATAATATGGATGACGGTTACGTCATACCGCATCACCCTGTCATTAGGCAGGATAAAGACACCACCAAGGTCAGAATAGTCCTTGATGCAAGTGCTAAATGTCATAACGGCATTTCTCTAAATGATATTTTACATACGGGTCCTAATCTCCAAGCTGATTTATTTTTACTTTTATTAAATTTTCGTTTATTTCCAATCGCTATAACCGCGGATATAAAACAAATGTACCTACAAATTTTAGTAACCGACGAGTATCGTAAATATCAAAAAATACTGTACCGCTTTAATACGTCTGAACCCATACGTACCTTTCAATTTAATAGAGTTGCATTTGGTCTTAAGTCAAGTCCTTACCTTGCCATGCGTACAATTCGTCAGCTTTGTGATGATGAACGCGATAACTTTCCGCTGGCTGCTTCTATAGCTGAAAGGGAACTGTATATGGACGATTTAGCTACGTCTATACTAAATGAGGTTGATGCTGTCGAGGCTACCGCTCAATTAATTAATATGTTTAAGTCAGGTGGCTTTCAATTAGTTAAATGGTCTAGTAATTCAAAGAACCTACTAGAGAGCATTCCTACACCGCTGAAACTTGCACAGCAAGTTGAGTTTGATAGACGTGAGTCCCTTAAGATATTAGGGCTCGAATGGAACCCGCAAGATGATATTTTCGTTTTTAAAATCAATTGTGATGACCGCTTGTGTACAAAACGTACCATACTTTCCCTAATTGCCCGATTATGGGACGTATTAGGTTTTGCTGCGCCTGTCGTACTTACCGCTAAACTACTTATTAAAGATCTTTGGCTGCAGAAAGTCGGTTGGGATGATGTACCTCCGACAAATATAACCGCTATTTTTACTACATTTAAACAACAATTACCGCTTCTTGCTAATTTAAAAATACCGCGTCATTTATCTGTCACGCAAGACTGTATAATAAATATCGTTGCGTTTTCGGATGCTAGTTTAAAAGCTTACGGCTGCGTTATTTACTTACATGTGACAGATCCCGCAGGCAATATATACGTGAGATTAGTCTGTGCGAAATCAAAAGTCGCACCCGTTAAGGTAGTCTCACTTGCGCGACTAGAACTTTGCGCCGCCGTTTTAATGTCTAAACTAACTAAACTAGTTTATGATGCTTACTCTTCACGCACGTCTGTACAGAACGTCTATGCATTTTCTGACTCGAAAATTGCACTCTCATGGATTCATTCTTCACCACATCGGTGGAATTACTTCGTTAGCAATCGTGTAGCTAAATGTCAGGAAAATTTACAATCAAAACATTTCTATCACGTGGCTGGATTCAATAATCCAAGCGACTGTCTTTCAAGAGGTTTACTGCCTAAACAATTACTTACCCATGAGTTGTGGTGGAACGGTCCCGCGTGGCTGAGTAGCCCCGTCTGCTCTTGGCCGGTAGAGTCATTTACACCTGAAAAATATGAAAACTTACCTGAATATAATACTAAGACGTTCGTTACAGCTGCTTCCAATACTGTAGTCTCACCGCTTTGTGATCTTGCATCTAAAGTTTCATCCTGAAACAAATTATTACGAATTAC